CTTTTTTTTTTTTTTTTTTTTTTTTTGTACACTTTATGTTCCAGGTTTAATCATTTAATCATTTTCCTAATCCATTTTGCAAGAGTTTTCCTCTGACCCTGTGATTTGATCTCCCGGTATTTCTCTCCCCCTCTCTCCCTCTCATTGATTTTTCCCCCTTTCTCTTGACAATGTGGATGTGCTGTCTCACAATTTTACCTTCCTTGGCCCCGTCAATATGTCTTCTCTTGGCTTGTAGCTATTTTTGTCTTGCTTGAGGCATTTGGCAGCTTCACAAGTGACTTGCAAAGGTGGCTGCACAGCTCTGGCTGTCCCCAAAATGCAAATTTTGCCGTTGCTTGTTTACATTTCTTGCTACCCTTTCAGTATAAAATCATTAATAAAAGTCTTCAGAGAAAGTCTATCCACAACATGCTTTGGCCCCAGTAACTTATATGAGCTCCTTCCTATGTTCAGCTACATTTTACTTTACTTCTGTGGATGTATCTTTCCGTATAAGAAAACAGTGAAATTATGTTTCAAATTTGTAGTTTAATCTACTTAGAGTAAACTGTTTACTGTTCATGATGATTACTACGTATCTCTTACATTTCCTCCTGTCAACTTTGGTCAGTAAACCATTGCTTGGACTGAATTCTCAAATCATACCCAAAATAAAGGCCTGTTAACACATTATAAAGTAGCCTTCTATATACACCCTTACATAAGATAAACTAGTACTTTTAAATGGCAAGGAAAGCATAGTCTTTAGCAATCATTAGATTTCCCTGCTGGCTAGAGAATTCTGAAGTCCCTATGTCTTAAAAGTTGCCGAGTTTGAAAAATACTGTTATAGAATAAAGTATAAATGGATTTCTGTAAAATAGTAAGAATGAGTATTAAAAGCAAAATTGAAAATTGCAATGAAGCCAAAACTACTGCTTTCTTTTCTATTTTGTATTTGAGCTGTGGATTATTTTTTTTCTTTCAAATTCCGAGTTTCTATCTACTGCCTTGAGTAAGAAAATATAGTTGCAAATAAATACATTTCATATGACATATACCCTTACCAACTTTGGTATGCTCCTCATCGGAGATTCCAGTTATCACTTCTTAGGTGTATCACAGGATAGATTTTAATCAAAGTTGTTTTGGTAGGGTAAAACTATAAACTTTTGAGTTGTGCAGAAACAAACACAACGGAAAAGATACAAAACTGCTATTGCAGATACTAGTCTAGATCTATGAGGTAGTTTAGGCATGCCACCACAATTAGCAACAGGATTGTTAAGCTCATAATATGTAACTTAATAGTCAAATGTTAATCATTGCTGTTTAAATACTGTACAGTAGCCTGATAAAGATTGGGTAATTTGAATGCATGCATAATTTGATATGAAGAATAACACCTTAAAAAATTCACTAAAACAGAGTTTTCAAATCCTACTCCATAAGTGTGGTGTAACAGACTACGGATAGTCCTCAATTTATGACCATAATTGAGCCCCAAAACTGTGTTCTAAACAACACTGTTAAGTGAGTTTTGCCCCATTTAACGGCTTTTCTTGCCATAGTTGTTAAGAGAATCACTGCAGGTGTTAAGTTTAATGACATAATTGTGAATCTGGCTTCCCCCATTCTGATTTTGCTGGTCAAAAGGTTGCAAAAGGGAGGGGGTCACATGACCCTGGGACACTGCAATCGTCATAAATATGAACCAGTTGCCAATTTTGCACAGCATGACCATATTAGGGATGCTACTGTAGTCATAGCTGTGAAAAAAGCGTAAGTCCCTATTTTCAGTGCCGTTGTATCTTCGAATGCTCCCTAAATGAATGGTTGTAAGTTAAGGACTACCTGTAGGAGTAGGGAGATCCAGATCTAGTCCTACAACAAGCTGTTTTGGGGGCTTAGGCCAATCCCCCCCCTCAGCTCAACCTACTTCACAGAGTTGTAGGGAAAGTTATGAAGAACAGCCTTCTGAATGGAAAGTGTGATAGGAATCCAATAAATAACCACAAGGCTTTTTTTTTCATATGTTTACAGAGCCCTCTCCCCCCCAATTGAAGAATTCTCAAGGCATATATTTATAGCATAAAACCAAATGGAGCATAATTGATACCATTAATTAACTCAGGAGTGGGTTAGAAGTAATTGATGTCTCTCCTAGAAATGATGGCAAAGCTTTCCAAGGATACACCAGTAATTATAGGTCTAAGCAGGGCTGGGTATGGATGGGGTTTGAGCAAAAACAAATATCTGTTGAGCAAACCTAAAACTTATTTATGGACTCTTTAATGGGAAGCTTCAGAGTCCCACAAAGTAATATTACCTATACGAATGTACTCTTTGAATTAACAAATAATTACATCTTCCATTTACCCAAGAGCAAATAGTTTTGATTTGGACCTGACATTTATTTCATAGGACTGGAGGCTTCCTAAACACTCAATATTGTCTGACATATTTTTTTAAAAAAATACGTCAGTTGAATAATATTGCTAGAGCGAAACAATTGAACATTATGCAACTAGGTAATGATACTTCAGCCAATGATATTTTTTTTTTATAAAAAAAATGGTATGGGAAAATAAACTTTTGCAGTACATAAGAAAAGCCTCAGGTATAATTAATCTAATTATCTCCTTTATTGTCTGTGGCATGATGTGAATAACTTGGCTAACACTGCTTTTGCTTAATTGAAACCTGATTGCTTCTAACCCTCACTAAACATTTTCAGAAATTGCAGTAGTTTAGGCTGGCAACGTTTGTGATTAGCTGCAACAGCTTGAAATGGCCACTTCAAATACTGACAGAGTCACCTCGTCTCGCGCTTTCTTATGGTCGGGTAAGTATGTTGACTCTTAACAGATCTCTTATTTCGTGTTTTGGGGTGATGTGGCTATATTAACACAAGCAGACACTCTATTGATAAAAAGATGGCTGTTTATTGATGTGAAGTGTCAGCTTAAAAAAGAGCTATAATGTCTGCCACAATTGATAGTTTTGAAGCAATATAACAGTTATAACCCGTCATAACCATGCCGATGCCGTTCTGTTATAGCGTTACAGGAAGTCCTCGACTTACGACGACAAATCGGGACCAGAATTCCATTGTTAAGCGGGATTTGGTTATTCACAATTTCATTGTTAAGTGAATTTTTACCACCCCCTTTTTTGCCACAGTTTTTAAGGGAATCGCTGCATTTCTTAAGGGAATCCCACTTCATTAAGCAAATCTGCTTCCCCTGTTGGCTTTGCTGGTCAGGCGTTGGCTGACAGCATCACAAATGGCAATCGTCATAAATACATGCCGGTTGTCAAGTGCCCAGGTTGTGATCGTGGGGATGCTGCAACAGTGGTAATGGCTGTCAGTCACTTTTTTCAGTGTCCTCGTCATTTTGAACGGTCGTAAATGAATGGTTGTATGTCAAAGTCTACCTCTACTGCAGGCCAATGAGCCCCGGCCTCTTTGTGTATCGGAATGACGTGGAAAAGCAAAAAAGCTCCTTTGCTGTTATAGAAATCCATGGTCAAGGCAGGTTCAGCAGTCAGATATTTGAATTTGTTTCGGGTTTGCTGGTGTTCCATAGGAATAACAGGATAACAGAGTTGGAAGGGACCTTGGAGGTCTTCTAGTCCAACCCCCTGCACAAGCAGGAGACCCTAGGTCATTTCAGACAAATGCTTGTCCAATCTCTTCTTAAAATCTCCAGTGATGGAGCACCCACAATGTCTATTCTTCTTTCCACTCTCCTTATATTATGAATGGTTTTATAGTTCTTAATTATACCTTTTCTTGAGAGAGTTTTTTTTCCCCAAGGCAAAAATGTGGCAATCGTTGTAGCTCTTCTCTGTAGACTTTATATGTGTTTTTACCTGGTCAACGCAAAATTAGCTATGGAATTTTAGATAGTCACCAGAATTGACTAGAATAGAGCTGGAAGGGACCTTGGAGGTCTTCTAGTCCAGCCCCCTGCTCAAGCAGGAGGACCTATACCATCTCAGACAGGTGATTGTCTAGTCTCTTCTTAAAAATCTCCAGTGATGGAGCCCCCACGATTTCTGGGGGCAAGCTGTTCCACTGGTTGATTGTCCTGTCAGGAAGTTTCTCCTTAATTCCAGGTTGCTTCTCTCCTTGGTCAGTTTCCATTAACCCTTGTGAGGAAATGGTTCATTTGCTGGAATTGTTGGTTTACTCTACTAGCTGTAAAATAACATCGATAAAACAGGGATTTTTTTTTTTTTGCAGCTGGTGTTTATAACCCTATAACTACTGTATAGTCTGCCATTCATTTTTAGCTAGCAAGCAGTCACACAGACATTCTGGTATTCTTTATTTAGTTGTGTATACAATGTAAACTTTTCCACAAGTTCATGGTGGAGCTGATGCAGGGAAGATAGTATGTCCTCTCAGAAGAACAACGAAAGGATTTTACATCATACCGTAAGAAGAGTACAGTATGAAAAAAAAATGAGTAATCACAGGTTTCAATCTCATCCTTTTAGACGCCACCTCAATTTGTTTTATCAGCTCACCTTACTCAGCTTGTGAATATCATCATTATCTTTTAGTTTGCTTTCTCTGCACCAGAGAGAATGCTAGTTAACGATGAAGTGTCAAGAGTTTTGAATTCCCAGTCAATGTTGAAGAAATGTAACTGCAATGCGTGACATGCAGGCACAAGATACTTGTGTACATTTTTTCCTGCACTCCAGAAGTGAGAGGATAATAAACAGACCTACCTTACCGGGGGGGTGGGTGGTTGGTAATACACTTATGTAGCCTCTTCACTTTCAATCCTATCACAATTTGCCGATCTTTTGCTTTTCCCTGTTTTTTTGCAGCAGCACTATCTTCTTTTTAGCAAAAGAATTGCATCCAACATGTAAGAGTTAGTTTTCTAAATTGTAAAGTTATTATTGCTTCAGCTGTCCTCTTCCGAATGCCTTTTGGAGTTGCGTAGTTTCTGGCTTTCTGTTTGTGTCTTAAAAATATGCCTCGAATAAAAAAAAATATATAGCTTTTCTTTGTCCCTCTGCAGCTTTTTTCTTCGCTATTTTTCTTTCCCTTTTTGATCCATGAATGAAGTGTACCTTTGGCAGTTCGTGGGTGGTTGATTTGAGGTCCTGTCTCTTGTTAGAACAAGGTCCTGCATTATGACCTCACGAAGCTACTGGGACTTCTCTGCCAGTATGGCAGGTCATAAGGTCATCAAATGTCATGTCTCCGAGTTGTAGTAGTTGTTCTACATTTGCTTCTTCGGCTGTCATGACACGTCTCCACGCTGCCTCTTCCCCCTTTCCCAGGGACGGTAATTTAAATGGAAACAGATCACCAGCAGCCTGTCAAAAATAACCGTTTCCTGTATATTTCACACTTGCTGATATACAAAAGGTGTCGATAGGAGTTTTAAAGCGCTTTGGGGGTTTTATTTATTTATTTATTTAGTTTTGACCAAACGTTGAGGAAGGGATGGGTAGCAAAAGATTTGTTTTCACGAATATATTCCCTTGCTTCTCCTGGAGATAAGCCATGACAGAAACGTGAGTGTTATCTTTTGTTTGTTTCACTTGTAATGGAGTTATATTCCTATGTTGATGGGATACATTGGTTGCTGTAGAATGGTTTGCTCTACTGGGGGATACAGTAAATCTAATTTAATGAATAAATATAAGTTCAATCCAGGATTTATTAAGCAGGGTATTTGACTTATTTAATGACAGATGCCAGTGGTGGCGAACCTATGGCACGAGTGCTAGAGGCGGCACTCGGAGCCCTCTCTGTGGGCACGCACACTGTTGCCCCAGCCCCGCCTCTCCCCGCAGCCCACTCCTCACCAGCAGCCTCCCCCCGGAGGAGAGTCACTCCTGGGTGCGGCCCACACGGAGCAGCGTAGCCAAGCACATGGCAGCTGGGCAGCACATGATGCTGCGGGGCACAGGCAGAGGGTGTGGCCACCATGGCTGCCTGGGCAATCTGCGGCAGGCCGTGGATGGCCCTGAGGGTGGGCAGGGTGAGGGCGGAGCAGGGCAGGGGTGGGCAGGTGGAGCGGGGGCAGGCTGGGGGCGGAGCAGTTTTTGGGCACTCGGTCTCTAAAAGGTTCGCCATCACTGACATATGCTGTCCATTTAAAATGTTTTTGATTAAAATCTGTCACCAACAATTGATCTGTATTCTGATAATGTGACATGTATAGTACAGCTGGTTATTTATGGGAAGGATCAGTTTGCTATGATTGTATGTGTATGTTTTAAATTCACACGCTATTCCTGTTTACTTTCATATTAGAAATACAGTCTTGGAAAGCTGCTTGCTTTATGTTGAAACCACCTGATTAACCAACCTTTATATACGACTCTGAACTCCAAGTGGGTTAAATGATAATTAACTTTAATGGCATCATTGGCTAGCTAACCCTGAAAATGTTATTAGGAACAATAAAACACCAATAATTCACAACGGCATGTCATAAATACAGAAGACATTGCACGGTCAAGAACAATGAAAAGATAAATTATGGAAATGCCCTTCCATTTAAGGTGCAATTAAAGGTGTCAACTCTACAACGAACCTGGCTGAAGCCATCTTGTTCGTTCTAGGTTGCCACAAGAATGGGAGGGGGAAAATGGAGGTTCTCTGCTAGTCTAAACAATTCTCTGTCCCGTGGGAACCAAGGTCACTTCTACCGGTTGAATTGGAAGAGTTGAGCATTCTGTCGGAAAGCCCGTCAAACTATTCTGTTGGGAAACATAGTTAATTGCATAGTACGGGGTGAGGGTGGGGAGATTAACTTTGTACTATTGTAACTCTTTGGAGGGAATTTCAGACTTGGGTTTCACTTTTGACCGTGCCGAGACTATGTAGCCAATAAGCATGTTCTTTGAGAAAACGTCCAGCCTTGGAGTTCTGATTTGTTTGGTCTCATCTATTGGAACCATGACAAAAGGATCTTTAGCCTATAGGAATGAAAGATACTCCTTGAGGGTCTAGGTCAATGGTGGCGAACCTATGGCACGCATGCCAGAGGCGGCACGCAGAGCCCTCTCTGTGGGCACACGCCATCACCCCAGCACACGTGGTCTCTAAAAGTTTGCCATCGTTGGCCTAAGGCCAGCCAGCCTGGAGCTGCCATTGGGGAGCCCACCATCCCACCCGCCAGAGACCCCTTGGATCTCCCCCAACCTTGCCCGGCTCCCACAAGTGTCCCTCCCCAAGGTGTCCACTCCCACTCTGGCCATGCCCACCCAACCTGCCATTACTGCAGCCAAACCCATCCAGTGGCCACGCCCACCCAGTCTGCCAAGCCCACTGTAGCTGCACCCACCGAGTAGGCCACACCCACCTGGCACCCGGTGATACATAAGTGGGTTTTGGGTTGCAGTTTGGGCACTCGGTCTCTAAAAAGTTTGCCATCACTGGTCTAGATAGAACAACTCGGTGTGCCCAACTTGCCCCAGCCAACTCACCATGGCCAACTTGCTGTGGCTAACTCACCGCAGGACAAGAGTTACACTAATATCGAAGAAATGGTGGAATAGAATCATTAAAGAAAAGAGGGACAAAATGAAGATGTGAATGACAAAAATTAAAATATTCTTTTTTAAAAAAAAATTAAATACTTAAATTGAATTGTTGAATTGTCCCCCAGCGAGTTGGCTGTGATGAGTTGACCATGGCGAGTTGGCTGCAAAGGGTTGGCTGTACCAAGTATCCATTCTGTCTCCTTGAGCCAAGCAACTGATAGCCGTACTACATCCAAGATTGATGACAAAGCTGAAAATAAGGATAAATAAGGATAAACAGTTGTTGCTCGAGCTAAATCTCGGTCTAAGCAAGAAAGGCGTTATCAGTTTCCAGTGGTGATCCTGGGCAAAGGAGGCTGATGAAAGTTAGATAACGCTTCGGTTTCTTGAAGATGCTGAAAATGGGGTCAGTGTATGTCTGCTAGTATCATGTGAATTAGACAAGCTGAATGTGTTAAATGAATGTACCGAAGGTGGCATTTTCTTCCTAAAAAGATAAGAGAAACAGAGGCAATGCTTTGATTGTAATAACAGATGTTTTGTTTCTATGTGGGCTGCAGATGGCAGATATCCTTGTAAGTATATGTTTTGCAGCACCAACCTATCATTATGTACTGTATTCCACTGTGTTAGGCATAGTTTCCATGCTTTAGCACTGTCGTCCCTACTCACATTTTAGAAAAATGGTTACAGAAATCTATCTATCTATCTATCTATCTATCTATCTATCTATCTATCTATCTATCTATCTATCTATCTATCTATCTATCATCATCATCATCATTTATCTATCATTTATCATCTATCTATCTCTATCTATCTATCTATCTATCATCTATCTATCTATCATCTATCTATCTATCTATCTATCATCATCATTTATCTATCATCTATCATCTATCTATCTCATCTACCAATCATCCATCCATCCATCTATCTATCTATCTATCTATCTATCTATCTATCTATCTATCTATCTATCTATCTATCTATCATCTATCATCAATCTAATCTAATCTATCTATCTATCTATCATCTATCATCAATCTAATCTATCTATCATCTATCTCTATCATCTATCTATCTATATCTCTGTCTGTCTGTCTGTCTGTCTGTCTGTCTGTCTGTCTGTCTGTCTGTCTNTATCTATCTATCTATCTATCTATCTATCTATCTATCTATCTATCTATCTATCTATCTATCTATCTATCTATCTATCTATCTATCTATCTATCTATCTATCTATCTATCTATCTATCTATCTATCTATCTATCTATCTATCTATCTGCAAACACAGTCTACTGCTTTATCTGTTACAAATAGCTACTATCTGTATTGGCCATATTATAAGTGAGCACAGTTGGGACCAGCAACTCAGTTGTTAAGTGGTCGCTAAGAGAAAAATGACGTGACCATGACTGTCATGATTTCACACACAGGACAGTGTGCCATTAAAGGAGAACATTTGTAGCTCAGGGTTGAAATGAGGGCTCCTTGGTGCTCTCAGTGCTTGGTCGTTTTCTTGCAGACGTTTCATGATCCAATCAACGTAACATCATCAGGCCAGCAGTGATGATGTCACCGTAGTTTGGGCAATGAAATGTCTGCAAGAAAATAAACAAGCATCGAGAGCACCAAGGACCCACCACAGTACTGTGCATTTTGACTGTAATTGTGAGTGCATGACAATAAATGCAGGCATTGGTCACAAAGTTAGTTTTTCATCATTGTTGTAACTGAGAACAGTCACTGTCCGAATCAGTTGCTAAGCAAGGACTACCTGCACCTAACACACCGTCCCAATTTACTTCAGATGCTTGGGACTTCCTGTATAGGAATATTGCAGGGAAGTTGAAAAAGTACTTTGGCAGCTTACATGTACGGAACACAGGGGCTCACGTGGTTGGGACCCTCGAGGCACAATCAGCAAGCCCGGTGTTTGAGACCCTAAAGCTGCTGCATGATGGGGTGAGCTCCTGTCATTCCCTCCAGCTCCTGCTGACCCAGCAGTTCAAAAATGGGTAATTGCAAGTTGATAGATATGCCCACTTCAGTGGGCATATTAATAGGGATATTAATAGGGATGCCCCCTAACTGGGCATCCCTGGTGATGTCACCAGCTAATCCTTTCAACCTGGAAGTGCCTCAGAGCTTCCGACGCGAAAATGAGCGAACTCACATATAATTCAGTATTAATGACTGTAAGGCAAATTCATCAATATAGGAAGATTATCATTAATTGCTTTGTGTGAATGATCTTGGAAGCGAGAAGGAAGAAAACAGACCAGTCCTACAAAACCATCTTTAATTGGAATCTTCTCTCCCTTAAGGCTGTTCCCACTAACTGCCTTAGGAATAAGATTCTGTAAATGTACTTGTTTTTTCCCAGTAATATTTGTTATATTTTTATTGATTACTGGTTATGCTACTTATTTATCTTAGTTTTATTTATTCCCATAGCCACCCATCTCAATCAAGTGATTATGGATGAGGATGGGCAGGATTATGCTATTACTAGTTACAATGATACTTAATTCTGATGAATTATATATTTATCTTTGGCTTTAGAAAATCATCTAGTCCTTAGAAATTAGCTGACTTCATTTTCCAAAAGTCCTTCTGTGATTTTTCCAATTAGATCACATCTGTAGCTCAAACCTGCATTGGGAGTGTTGTAAGGGAATTGTAAAGATAATTTAATTAATGTATCCATTGATATAATACTAGGGTTTCTCTATGAATAATTGATTCTGTAGGATAAAATGGCAAGGGGAAAGAGGCTGGCCTAAAGTAATTTAATCTGAGATTCATTAGAGGCTTTTAATGCTACCGAGTTGGTTCAATGTTTCGATCGGATTGCCTAAGTTGTATTCATACTTCATTCTGAATTTCTCAATATGCAGGAAATCCTGACTGGTATTTTCCTGCAAAGAAGAATTCAAAAAAGTGTCTTTTTTTCCCTCTTTTTCTCCACACCAATCAACGTTTAACCGATTGTTATGTTTTTATTTCTGTGGACTCTCTCTCCTGGTTCCCTTTGGGAAAAGTGAGACATAACAGCTGAAGTCAACACAAATAACTCAACACAACAGCAGTTCTGTTTTTGCCTCTTTGCTGTGATTGTAATCGAGGCCTCCTAATTTCTTTCTTTTAGGCTCTGTGTACGAGCCCATGAAAAGCATTAATCTGCCAAGACCAGATGAAGAGAGTCTGTGGGATAAGTTGGACCATTATTATTGTATAGGTGAGTCACACAAAGTATTTTCTCCTTTGAGGAAACTGAGAGAGCAAAGATAAATAGCATTACGTTCTTGTCATAAATGTAATTGGAATCATAAAAAATTCACATATTCATTATGCACTGCTGTTGATTTGTTTCCTCCAATAATTCATCCTGTATAGACAAGCTTATTTTCACATGATGCTTTAATGTTAGTAATATTCATGGCCATAAAGTTACCTTTTTTCGATTATCCTGAAAATAGGCAAGAAACTAACTGTACACCATATTGCTTTCCATGATGGTGGAGTGAATGAAATTATTTGAGAAATGCTGTATTTTAAGAAATGCACTTTCTTCACCTGAACCTGTTTTGTAATTTGTTTCTAAAAACAATTCTTTACTCTTTCCCCCATCTACTTCCTCATGCAGGAGTTATAAATGGATTTCAAAAGGAGTATTGGCTGATTTAATCGGTAGAACGTTTCGCTTTGAGGTTAATTCCTCAAGAACAATTGATTACTTCCTTCACACCATTGAATACAAATTTCATCCATTTATATAAACCCTAAATAAAAAATAATATTTTTCAAAAGGTGAGAGGTTGGCGAACTTCTCTGAAATGGTTGGTTTAATCAGAAGTCACAACTGGGCAATAAGTAGATTTTACCTTTCAGTAACATTTGAATTGTTGCTGTTTAATAACTGAAAGTATTTATAAACTACTAAAGAATTTTTTTATATTTCATGGAAAGATGGGCTGTAAGATCAAAAACATCAAATAATAAATACCATCAAGCTGCCATATGTCTAGTTTCTTACGATAGCTTTGCAACAAATGCATGCTAAAATATTCTGTTATTTGGGAAGACGAGAGTGTGAAAGTTCTCATTGTGGATGGTAAATTTGTCAAGTTGATTTCATCAGCTTCTCCTGTTTCCAACTTCTGTTCCTTTCCTTTCACTTGTGCATTGTTTACTTTTTTTTCAAGTGTCGGTGTCAAAATGTAAACGCATTTTCTAGGATCATTCTCAAATGTGTGTGTTTTTCTATGTATCTCCTTAATTTATTCAGTCTGGGCTTTTATTTTGGTTAATGCGTTTTCATGTATGCTTTTGGGGATTTTCTATAGATTGTTTGAGATGGAACATTCCCGAAAGCGCAGACCTTTTAATATTATTTAAGTTTATGCATGTTCATGTTAAAAGACATGTTGCATTAATTTCTTACCCTCCCCAGACCTGAATTGGGAAATCTGTGCTTGGTTCAATTTTAATTTGAGTTTTTCAACAATAAATTCAGGCCTTTGATAAAATTTCTGCCTGCCTTATAGCCTACTTCTTAAGAGAGGGCAAGATAGGTCTCCCAAAGAGAAAAGGCGATGAGCCCAAAAGAACAAAAGTGAAATAGAAAATGGCGGTCGGCCTCCATTTTGAGTATTGGTCCTATTCATTACAGGTAGTCCTCGACTTATAACCACAGTTGAGCCCAAAATTTCCGTTGCTAAGTGAGACAGCTGTTAAATGAACCCCTCCCCATTTTTATGACCTTTCCTGCTGCAGATGTTAAGTGATCACTGCGGTTGGTAAGTTAGTAACACTGTCGTTAAGTGAATCTGACTTCCCCCATGGTGATCGCATAACCCCAGGACACTGCGACCGTCATAAGTATGAGTCAGTTGCCAAGCAACTGAATTTTGATCATGTGACCATGCAACGGTCCTAAGTGTGAAAAATGGTCATAAGTCACTTTTTGCGGTGCCGTTATAACTTTGAACGGTCACTAAATAAACTGTGTAAGCTGAGGTCTATTTGTACTTCTATATGTTATCCACAACAGAATTTCTCTAAGGATTTTGGTCCTCAATAGAAAGATTACTCAACGCTGTTATAGATCCTATGTAACACCCCAGTCAAATGGGACCTTTCTCAGACATTTTTATTCCCAAGTTTCAAAGAAAACGTTGCTTTGATTTTCCTCAGGTGTTGAAATTTTTTGGTGGTGTATTTTACAGATTCCCCGAGGAATTTCTGCTCAAGGAAGCTGTAGCAGTTATGCTACATTTTAATAGGGCAGACAAAGCTTAGGGAACCAAAATCAACGAACATTGCCAAGAATACAGATTTTTTAAAGGAAACTGTAAGGGGGGGGAGAAGTCATTCTCATGGGAAATTGATAACAAATCTTGACGTACTTTGGGGAGTGTATTTTTTACCTTACTCATAGTGGAACTTTTTGCCTTATATACATAAAAAAGATGCTTAAGTTTGCAACCAGTTTAGATAATAATTTATTGGCTTCTTTGTTTCTCTTGGCAGTCAAGTCAACGCTGTTGGTTTTCCAAAGTCCGACCACCGGTCTTTTTCCCACAAAAACTTGTGGCGACAATCAGAGAGCAAAGGTTCACGATAGTCTTTATTGCGCTGCCTGCGTCTGGGCCCTGGCCCTGGCCTACAGGTAAATGGATGGTTTCTTATGTTGTCTGTCTAACTGTATAGTGCACTTAAATCCCCACCCCCCAAACGTTTAGGGAGCAGCCAAAGAGTTAAAACAGAAGCAAGTCTTGAAAATATATTTCTCAGAGACTTTCTTTTTGTGTCAAGGGCTAATGGTTATTTCAGTTTTCATTTTTGATTTGGTTTTTGATAGGAATAGGAATAGGAATAGGAATAGGGTAGAATAGAGTAGAATAGAGTAGAATAGAGTAGAATAGAGTAGAATAGAGTAGAGTAGAGTAGAGTAGAGTAGAATAGAAAATAGAAAATAGAAAATAGAAAATAGAAAAAGTGAAGAATAGAATAGAATAGAATAGAAAATAGAATAGATGTATTAAGTGAGTTTTGCCTCATTTTACGACTTTTTGTGCCGCATTTGTTAAGTAAATCACTGCAGTTATTAAATTAGTAACACGGTTGTTGAATCTGGCTTCCCTCACTGACTTTGCTTTATGACACTGCAGCCATCATAAATGCAAGTCAGTTGTCAAGCATCCAAATGTAAATCACTTAACCCTGGGGATGCTGTAACGGTCATAAGTGTGAAAAATAGTCATAAGTCACTTTTTTCAGTGGCGTTGCAACTTTGAATGGCCACTAAATGAACTGTTGTAAGTCGAGGACTATCTGTACTTACTTGATAGGCAGTGTCCTCTAACTAGATTATTTAGTCTCATCAATCCTGCTGTTGCAGGACAAGAATGATTTATCGTCCCACCTGCCTTGAATAATGTAATCTTTAAATAACTTGTGTTAAGGTAAAACCAGCTAAACTAGTTCTTAAAAATGCCTTCAAATTATTCAAAATACATGCTAAAACGTAAATAGAATGCATTTGTGTAATGAAGGTACATTAAACTAGGCATCTTTGAATTACTTAATCAGTAGAACTTCCACACCGGTATCAACAATCAGTCCTAATTATGTACCTGTTCAAGTAGATGGAGCTGTAGTAACTATTGTACATCAGCGTATTTTTCATGACAACAACTTAATTTTGAAGGTTGCTATTTCTATGAAAGGCAAACAAAACTTTCTGACTATTTCTAGTTTTCTAGATTGCGTCTTTATTATTTTTTATATTTATCTTCTAGTTTTCAAGCTTATATTCTAAACCTTAACTTTAAATCTTTTAACTTGATATATATTTTACCAGTCAGGTGTTTCCTAGCATTAGTTAGTTTGAAAATTCAAGTGTTTGCTATACTTCAGTGGTCCCTAGTCTTTTTGGCACCGAGACCAGTTTGGTGAAAGACCATTTTTCCACAGATGGGGCATGGGGAACCTAGATCTAGATCTCGCGCATGCACAGTTTCGCTTGCCCATCGCTCACCTCCAGCTGTGTGGACCGGTTTCTAACCGGCCACGGACCGGTATCTGTCTGTGGCCCACTGGTTGAGGACCCCTGCTATACTGCATTCTGTCCATGACTGCTTTTCTATATATTTAACTGACCTCTTTTTTATATATAATCTTTAATTTTGTACTTACGTCTATCACCCTAGGACCTTTGTCCAAAGGATTACTTACCAATTGGCTGAATGATAAAACCTGCTGATTATTCGTGGCAATGAAAGACAACTACCTCTTAGATCAATTGTAATTCATGATCATACATATGGGTTTAGAAAAATACAAGTTTTCCTCTTGGCACTTCTGCTGCTAAGAGGGGGAGGCTGCGACGATGGCTCAAAAGTGCAAGAATCACTTTGCAACCTAGGAAATTGCCTTGACAGTTGCCCACAAACCACAGGATTAGGTAATAGACGGTTAAAGTTGCCGAAAGGATTTGTCCACTTTAAAATGAAATCTTTCCATTGAGGTCTGTCCTGTGTGGTGGCTACAGGGAGTCCTTGGCTTACGGCCACTGTGGAGTCCAGCATTTTGAGAAATTCGTTAAGTGAGTTTTGCCCCATTTTACGACTTTTCTCCACACATTTAGTAAGTGACTCACTGCAGTTGTTAAATTAGTCACACGGTTGTTAAGTGAATCTGGCTTCCCCATTGACTTTGCTTGTCAGACGGTCGCAAAAGGGGATCACGTGACCCCAGGACACTCAATGGTCCTAAATATGAGTTGCCAAGCATTCAAATGTAAATCATGGGGATGCTGCAAAGGTTGAAAGTGTGAAAATTGATCATAAATCACTTTTTTCAGTGGCATTTTAACACTGAACAGTCACTAAATGAACTGTTGTAAGTTGAGGGCTACCTGTATAAAAACTAAGGTACTAGTGGAAAAAATGTCTGAAAATTTTGTCCCGGATAGGTTTAGTTTTCTGTTTGCCACGATTAAAACAGAAAAATAAAAAAAAGACCAGTGCCAAATTCTCTGTATTGTATTTATCTGGCTAGACATTCAACCGTATTACTTTCTACATGAAGAGACTCCGTGTATTTCCACATCAAATCAGTTAAGCCTTTTTAGCTAAAGAATGCGATGCATTTAATTATCTTTTCTGTAAAAGAAGTAATTGAAAAAGGTGTGTTTGTTAATTACTTCTGTTTGCATGTTGCACCGTTTCCAGGAATTCTGAGTGACGTTGAAATAATTGCATAAGATTAAAACATTAGAAAAAAAAAAGATAGAAAATAACCGCCAGGCCTTGATGTGTCAATCATCTGGGCTGAACGATCTTCAAGCCACGTTTGGAAATATAATAGGGAGAGGTTGGGATCTCTGAATAGCTTTATTAATTACACGGATCCTGTCTCTGGGTTTTGGCTCAATAGTTCTAAAGATAATGACAAATTGAAGTAACTGAACAAAACTCAGTAAAAAAGAAGATAAATATATAACCCCTAGGAATAAATAAGGAATAAATCACTTATAGTACTTTAACACCCTGAATAATTAACTATAAAATTGCCTTTTCTATAAAAGATGGTCAATTAGAACAACAGCAGGATTCAGCGCAAGATGCTGTTACCATAGCAACTGATGAACATACTTTAAAATCTGGGCTACGCCATGCATTGGTGCTCAGTCTGAACTTTCCACAAATCAGATAGGAAATATTTAAAAAATAATGTTAACCGAAAGAAGGGAATAGATGCAGAGCGGAGCAATGCATGGATTATATTCAAGCTGTGCTGGGATTCAGGCTGGTACTTTTTTTCTTTGGCATTCTGGGCTTTCATTTTCTTGAGTGAATGTCAGGTGTTGAAGCATCCTGATCAAAATTCAGAGGCTTGGCAACTGCTTCCTATTTATGACGTTTGCAGTGTCCCGGGGTCATGTGATCCCCTTTTGGAAACTCATAGTCTCCTAGTGATTAGCCCAAAGTCACCTAGCGGTCTTTCATGCCTAAGGCGGGACTAGAACTCACAGTCGCCTGGTGATTGGCCCAAAATCACTCAGCCAGCTTTCATGCCTAAGGCGGTACTAGAACTCACCATCTCCTGGTGATTGGCCCAAAATCACCCAGCTGGCTTTCGTGCCTAAGGCGGAACTAGAACTCACCATCTCCTGGTGATTGGCCCAAAATCACCCAGCTGGCTTTCGTGCCTAAGGTGGGACTAGAACTCACCGTCTCCTGGTGATTGGCCCAAAATCACCCAGCTGGCTTTCGTGCCTAAGGCGGGACTAGAACTCACCGTCTCCTGGTGATTGGCCCAAAATCATCCAGCCGGCTTTTGTGCCTAAGGCGGAACTCTAGAACTCACAATCTCCTAGTTTCTAAGTCATCACCATCACCACTACATCAAACTGGCTCACTACATCAAGACTAGCTTTCGGTTTGGTTTAAATAGCGGGCTCAGCTCTTTTTTCGAAAGCTGGATAGCTATTTCCACTGCTTTCATTTGAAATACTGATTTGCCAATGGCTTTCCCCCCCTCTCCCCTCACAATTATTATTTTTTTCTTGCTGAGTCTAATCTCCTTTAAAAGCTTGTCCTATTCATTTTCTCCCCTAATGATAGGTACTTGTCTGAAGTACCCTTGGTAACTGCAAATCAAAGCCCCACTGTTCTTAACCAGTAGAATAAATACCTAAGGTGTTCTGCTTAATTGCAGTCTGGAAATGTCAACTTTCAAAATGTATAGCTTTAATTTAATTTGTCTATGTCTAGGACTACTGTAAAACACTCAGCCATAAATGTGTTAAGTGGAATATATTAAAAATCAGATTAAAAAAAAGAGTGCTGGGCTTCTCTTGCCTCTACTGATGTGCACATCTTGAAATGGTTAATGACTGACTTTGGCAGGAGATGACCAGGCTGAGCCCGAGGGGAGGGTTAAGCGCGTCATAAGTCATGAGTCCCTGCGCACCCACCTTGACTGCCTTCTTAATTGCCACTCACTTCCCTTGACTGTTAGTAGCTCAGATTTTTTTTTTAAAAAAAACAAGTTTTATCAGTTTTTTCATTTTACAAACAAGTGCCTAAAAATCAACGTGGTGGGAGGGCAATCAATTGTCCACAAACAAAATCATACTCATAAAGTTCAGATTAAATAATTAAAAATCCCTTCTCTTTTCCCTCTAGTAACATATTATATTCAGCTAAGTCAATCATAACAATCCTCAATAACCTTTCATCTAAATAGATCCATAAATCCAAATCCTATGTTAAGCTTTACTATTTCAGTCACTATATTCCATATTTCTAATCTAAAAGCGTATTTAATACTTCGGGTGTCTCTCCATTATCTTTTTCCTTAACATATTCAGTAAACATTTATTAGCATCATTTCTTCTTTTTTCTTATTCTTCTTCCATTACAAAATAGCTATTATTTCTAATAAAAAAATATTAGTTCAAAAAAGAAAAGAGAAAAAAAGAACAAAAAACAAAGACAAGACAAAAAAAAAGAAAAAAGAAAAATAGCTTTCTATTTCTATTATACTTTATAATTTATCAATCAATCCCCCAATATCTGTATCAGATATTTTGTAGTGAGCTTAAAGCTTGCCATAAATCTTTATAGTCATTTGAACTGCCCATTTCCCCGGCGCTTGACCCTAATTTTTTTCATTGAAATGTTTGCTTCTTTCGCCATGACGGGTGGGAGATCTCAAGTTTTGAAGATCAATGCAGATCTCATGGAATCGTTCCAATAGTTATTCGTAGTCCCGGTTCAGTGCTTTAGCTTGGTGGAACTTGGGACTTAGCATTCTTTTACATACTGACAGCGTTAATCAATGCCTTCACCTATTTTTGATGGGTGGGACTCCTGCTGAATGATCTGTCTTTCGCATTGAGGCAAAAAACGATCACCCCACAAGGAGCAGATGCTTTTCTATTATGGCCTGTCTGTTTTTAAAATGCCCCTGTAGAGAGATTTAGTTATTAATTTGCTTCTGATTTTTTTTTTTATTGTATCGCCTCTTTCTGATGATTGATTTTGTTATTAATAATGTTTCTGCTTTGAAGGTTTGTGAGTAATGGTTTTCTTGAAAGGCAGTGGACCCTCCTTTCTTTTCTTTTTTTTTTGCACCACATGTACTTCTTGAAAGTTCATAAAACTCTAGAGGGAATAAATTGGAAAGAAGAGAGAAGGGATTAAAAAGTCAATAAAGAGTGTCCGTAATATGAGGAAAAAGCCTTTAAAGTGGTAAAACGTAATCAAATGATGCCAATTTTATGTATACTTGTAAGTGACTCCTACTGCATTCAATCTCTCTACAGTAGAACCATTCATTCATTCATTCATTCATTCATCATTCATTCATCATTCATTCATCTTTCATTCATTCATTCATTCATTCATTCATTCATTCATTCATTCATTCATTCATTCATTCATTGCATTTTGGAATCATCCATCTCCTTCACAGAGGGGCTCTGGGCAGTGTACAATAAAAGATTAAAGATTAAAAACAATACATGAAAATTAATAATAAAAAATTATTTGTTATGTATATGTAGGGGTGTGGGTCTATACATATGTTGTATACAGTATGTTTTAGGTGTGTGTCGTGTATGTGTTTCACTTTGAGAGCGGGCCACTAAATTTCATTTTTGATGTGTGCCGTTGTGCCCACAGTAAAAAAAATGACAATAAAGGTTATCTTAATCTTAAGATTTAAACGAGGCAAGGATTTAAAAGAGGCTGTATGTACCTGTGTTTCTCAACCCTGGCAACTTTAAGATGTGAGGACTTCAACTCTCAGAATCCCCCAGCCAGCACACTGACTGGGGAATTCTGGGAGTTGAAGTCTATACATCTTAAAGTTGCCAAGCTTGAAAGACACTGACCATATACTCCAAGAAATACAGACTTTATATATCACTTCCTAAGACACTCCTGAACATCAAAGCCTGGAGGGGTCCCAAAGCTATTGCACTGTAAATAGTCATCTAAAATTGGGCGGTCCATGAGAGCAATCCTCAGTGGAGGGTTTGAACCTCATAGAAAGATCTGCGACTATGTACACAGTACCTCAGGACTCCCACAACCTGGCATTGTCAAAAAAACCATTAGCAAAATTAGCAATATTTGAAGGAGCGTCTTCTTCCAGGCACATCTAGCCGATCTACCAGAGCGGGGAGGCAAGGAATGCTGTGAGTCCCTTCTCCTAAGGAGCTACATCTAGTGGGATCAAGCACAAGGGCCTTCTCTGTGGTGGCTCCCTCCCTATGGAACATCATCCCTGCAGAAATAAGATTGGCCCCCACTTTGACCCCCTTTCACAAGGCCCTGAAGGTTTGGCTTTTTCCCACAGGCCTGGGGAACCCAGAGTGGGATGGATCCCATCAAGTGGCTTGTTCAACCGATTGTTGTCACCCGGGGAGTGATGGTTTATCACTATTGTTTTTTCTACAAGGGTTTTTTTTTTTTTGTAAGCGGCTCAGAATTTGAGAGTGAGTTGGGTGGCCACATAAATGCCCTTAAATAAATAAATTTCAAGCATCATTATTGCATAGACCACTGTTCGGATAATTTTCTTCTTTTCCATTTTATAGCTGATAACGATATGTCCGTATTTTCTTTAAAACATGAAGGCAGAGGGAAACAAAAGTTTCTTGACAAGAATGACTTTGTGTTCATTTTATGAACCTGCACTTCATTGTTGGCTTAATTGTCGACTCTTTTTTTTAAGGGCTGGCTTTATTCTAGCCAAGGTTGATCGGGCCTTGAGTTATATTTGAGTTAGCTCGTGCCACTATATCAAAACAGTCTTAGTACTTAATTATAAAAGAAAAAAAGGGATGCGGGTGCCTTCAACTTCCTTCTGAATGAATCTGTAATTTGTTTCCTGGGTTATCTCTCCTGTTCAGGCGTATTGATGACGACAAAGGAAGGACTCACGAACTGGAGCATTCTGCTATCAAATGCATGCGAGGGATTCTCTACTGCTACATGCGCCAGGCTGATAAGGTAAAGCGCTGCATTGTGGACAGAAGCACACACTGAATTCTAAAGGATTAAGTTAATTGTAAGCCTGAAAATGTTTCGGTGGCAAGCAAAGTAAAACGCGCAATAGATGCGACGCCACTTTGCATGCTGCCAGAAAAAGTTTTATTTCTAGGCTCCAGCCCTAAGATAGTTAAAACATGATAGCAGTGTTCCAGTATCTCAGGGGCTGCCCCAAAGAAGAGGGAGTCAAGCTATTCTCCAAGGTGCCTGAAGGCAGGACAAGAAGCAACGGGTAGAAACTAATCAAGGAGAGAAGCAACCTAGAACTAAGGAGAAACTTCCTGACAGTGAGAACAATTAGCCAGTGGAACAACCTGCCTCCAGAAGCGGTGAATGCTCCAACACTGGAAGTTTTTAAAAAAGAAACTGGACAGCCATTTGTCCGAAATGGTATAGGGTTTCCTGCCTGAGCAGGGGGTTGGACTAGATGACCTCCAAGGTCCCTTCCAACTTTACCATTATTATTATTATTAAAAGCCACAGATGAAGACATGTGCAACGTAATAAACTAACCTTTTGGGGTGTTTCAAAGCTAATCCCTTTTTAATTTAATTTAATTTAATTTAAAACTTGAACCGAGGGCAAACCAGAGACTGCTAGTTGATCTAGTGTTGTTGGAAATGCAGACTCGACCTACGACCACAATTGAGCCCAGAATTTATGTTGCTAAGTGAGACATTTGTTAAGTGAATTTTGCCCCTTTTTACGACCTTTCTTGCCACAGTTGTTAAGTGAATCGCTGCCGTTAAGTTAGCAACACGGTTGTGAAGTGAATCTGGCTTCCCCCAATGGACTTTGCTTTGCCAGGAGGTCGCAAAAAGGGGATCACGTGACCCCGGGATACTGCGACCGTCATAAATATGAGCCAGTTGCCAAGCGGCCGAATTTTGATCACGTGACCGTGGGGATGGTGCAACGGTCGTAAGTGTGAAAAAATGGTCACGAGTCGCTTTTTTCAGTGCTGTTGTAACTTCAAATAGTCACTAAATGGACCGTTGTAAGTTGGGGACTCCCTGCACAGTAAGGAGTTGGCTGTCTGGTGAAAACCACCAAGGAAAATACAGCTGAAATGGCCAGAAAGAACTTCGTATGACAAGCACCTGATTATAGACTAAAAGCTGTCTTGGGCAAGTGCTGTTCGTGTAAGTGTTACACAAATAATAGTGACAACGTTTCCATGATTGGGAAAATAGCTTGAATGTAGCCACTTCAGTTCCTTAAAGAGGTGGGTAACTTCATGTGTATTCGTTCTTTTTTCTCTTATACAACCCACCCCAGCTGACCACGCATCTCTGCAACATTCTTGTGTATGTTTAACCATGCTCTTATTGTTAAGACTCAATTTCTGCCATAAAGTCTACTAAGGTAAATCAAGATTCCAGTAATTTTAAGCTGCCTCCGGTACATTCTGATATTTCTCACCCAGAAAAAGAATTTGTATCACTTCCACTGCTCAGCCACCCTTGAAGGACAAAGCATTTTTCTGGTGTCCCGGTTACTGACCAGCATTTTACGTACTTTAAATTACACACATAACCACGTTTTTTATACTCTTTAATTGGGAAGGTTTGGAAGATCTATGTGTAGTTCCAACTAACCTTTCCGATTAGTTATTATCTCTTAAATATTATTTAATAATTTTATTAAACATTATTTGTCCATCATCAAGGTATTAGAAAATACCTTAAAGATAGGCAAATAATATTTAGTATGCTTTCTTTTCTTAAAAATGTTGTTTGTATCGGTATTCTCATTAAATCTTTACAAAAATAGCAGATAGTTTTAAAAATGCAGTGGGCCCATGCTATTTAAGGCATGACATGTTTCTTTATTTTTCTATCAGCTCTGAAAAATTTAGTTTGACAAGGTCTTCTTGAAGTGTGGCATTTCTCCCTTTTGCTACGGTTTTATTTGACATGGTGCTGTGCAATCATCTTTGACATAGTTAATCAGAAAAGATTATTTATGACTTCAGGGCCTCAGGAGGATCCCGCCTTGTCGCAAATGGAATGAATTTCCTGCCCTAAGTTTGTGTATAAATTTATTCTCCTTATAATGATGTTAGAATTTGTTCTCGGTCACTATTTAATGCTGGTTGAAGACAATACATATTTTTCCTATAAAATAATGTTAAGTCTCATTTTCCTAATCGGATTTTGGCACAATCAGATTCAGCAATAACCAGTCCTCACAAATATATATCTCAGAAAGAAAACCCATGCTCCAAAGGCTACATTGGTCATACTTTCAGATTGCGTGGTCTTAGATTTTTGCTTAGTGCATGAACAATGAAGTCCATTGCGTCTCACCAGCTCCTTTTGAGAATTTTCAGGAGAAAATGGATGGAGGTTACGTGTTGCTCTTTGAATGAAAGGCTACATTCCATTTGAGCATTCAGAACTAGTTGTGTGGGTTTTAACGAGTTGTGCGGATAATTACCCTCTTCCAATGATCAAAAGTGAGCATACTGTGAATGTCAGACTGGAAATCTTGCAGGTTTTGACAGCTGCCTGTGGGCTAGAACATACAATGTTGCTTAAACTGCACTCATATGAGATTCTACGAGGGCAATTCGGAAATAAACCTCCGTTTGGTTATCAGTGACAGACACTCGCAGATACAGAACTTTTATTATACACATTAGAAAACTACAACATGACATGACTTTTCGACATCATCGCCATTCAAATTGAGGCACTTGTAACGTCTCACAAGGTTTGAAATGCCTTAGTAGTCGTCGCTCGGCGCCAATTCTGGGCTACGGGGTTGTGTGTGTGATCAAAAACATCCCAACGGAACTGCTTCAAAAGTTCTTGGGTGCGTCTAGCGGTGTGCAGGTGTGCGTTGTCGTGAACCAACACCACACCGGAAGTCAGCATGCCCCGAAGCTTGTTACGGATGGCTCGCTTGAGTTTTCGTAACAGTTTCACAGTAGACTTCTGAATTGATGGTCGAACCACGTTCCCTGAACTTCACTAGCAGTTACTCCTTTGGCATCTTCACATTTGGTAGGATTTTCTACGGCACCCCTTCCGGTGTGGTGTTGGTGTTTCAGATTTCATTTTAGCCAAGGTGCCTCTCTTAGTAAAGGCTGGGAGCGCAGAAAAGCAAAACCTTCCTGTTTAGAAGAGTTTTCATAATGACATCTTTTCAGAAGTGTTTTTGAAAGCGAGATCTACTTGGAAATAAGATTGTTTGAGCTGACGGTGCTCCGTGGCTTCAGATTTTGAAATAGGCAGCTTGGATGAGAATACAGTGCCTGGAAGGAAGGCATTAGAACAGCAAAAATAAAAATAAATAAATAAAGGAGTTAATGTTGTTCAGTTGATGGCAGGGCTATTTAACAATCCTATAATTTGTCTATCTAGCCTTGACATCAGACATCGTTATCATGAAATATCTTTTGAAACGTTATGCTACAATAGAAGTAATCTCATTCCAAACTACGGCATTGTGTTAATGGTGCCAGTCATTTGGAGCAGGGAGACATAAAAAACCAACTCATCTCCCCACCTCTGATGGGTTTTGAAAAAGTAGTTTAATATACCTTATCATTACACCATGATAGTTTCATTTTATTTGCCTGGCCCGTGTCAAGAGCTCAAAGGCTTGATATTAAATACAGCTATATTGTGCTTTGCGTAAACAGATAATCAGCACAGGTAAGTAAATTCCGCTACCTTGTTTTTCTGTAATTTTAGCTTTCAGCCTCTAGCTAATCGTGGTTTAAAATTTCTTTTGGCATAATAAAGCTTTTCTTCTTCTTCTTGATGTTGCGCAATGCCAAGCGAATGGGAATAAGAACGAACAGTTGGTAGCAGATGATAACCTGGAAATTTGCTACTGATTTATCTCTGATGTTTCTTTTTTTCCCCCTCCAATATCTTACAAGGTGACATATGCCAGCAATTACTCAGCGTTATTCTCCTGATATTTGGGGACGCCAGGTGTGATGAAAGCTACATTTTCAACACCCTGCACCTGAACTTATAGAAACCGCAGGCAGAGTCTGTCACTTCTTATTTTGTAGCGCAGCTCTGGCCTCAAAGGGAAGACAAATTAAAGTGGAATTGATAGAAGAAAAGTAAATGTTACAAGGCAAAAAAAAAAAGTAAAGTAAAAAAGAGAGATGGACAAAGGATTTTTTTTTTAAAAAAAGAAACAACAACAAAAAAAACCCTTTCAGAATATGGCCAAAATAATCTCCTAGCCCATGAAGAAGAAAATAATATACTATGCCAATAGAAGTCAAGTTTTTATCGACTGCTCTCAAATTACTTGGTTCTAGTATTTAAAGATGTGTTTATTTAAAGATGTGTTTATGTTTTCAAGACATCCTTATATCCTGGGAACTTCAGGGTAGATCCATGGCGTTTTTGTGACATGAAATACCCAGACCCTTAGCAGATTTTATTATTTTATTATTTATTTGAATTTATCGGCCACCAAACTCCAGACTTCCCAAACTGTACATGCCCTAACTCCCATCCCCATTATGATGCTCTTGAGGAATCCCTCTTGTCACCCTGGTCCTTCTGATCTCTATCTTTTTAAAGGAATTTTTTTGGGGGAAAACTTAAATCCAAAGGCTAACATCTTCTTTGTACAATTCAGAAACATGTTTTAAATATAATTGTATTGGAAAAACATATGTGGGAGATGGACAGTTGAAAAGTATGAGATAGGTGGGTAAGTAGGTAGGTAGAAAGGCAGATAGAGACAGAGAGACAGACAGACACAGGTAGGTAGGTAAGTAGGTAGGTAGAGTGGCAGAGACAGAGACAGACAGACACAGGTAGGTAGGTAAGTAGGTGGAAAGGCAGATAGAGACGGAGAGACAGACAGACACAGGTAGGTAGGTAAGTAGATAGGTAGAGAGGCAGAGACGGAGAGACAGGTAGGTAGGTAGGTAGGTAGAGAGGCAGATAGAGACAGAGACAGACAGGTAGGTAGGTAGGTAAGTAGGTAGGTAGGTAGGTAGAGAGGCAGAGATGGAGAGATAGACAGACACAGGTAGGTAGGTAGGTAGGTAGGTAGGTAGAGAGGCAGATAGAGATGGAGAGACAGACAGGTAGGTAGGTAAGTAGGTAGGTAGAGAGGCAAATAGAAAGGTAGAGAGTAGGGTAGGGTAGGGTAGGGTAGATAGAGAGATAGAGAGATAGAGAGATAGACAGAGATAGAGAGATAGATAGATAGATAGATAGATAGATAGATAGATACATAGATACATAGATACATAGATAATGTACTGAGCATAAAAGCTACTCTCTGATTTCCTGATTTGTGATTCAGAATTGTAAAAATCCTCAATCCGCTTATTTGCTTTTGGTGATGGCAATTGAGATAGGATAGCAGGTTGACCCAAGTAATAACCAGAAGGATGATGGGAAACGTGAATGGAGGTCCTGCAAACAGTGGGGGGTGCTGGGTGAAAGTGTGGTAGAAATACATAGTTGTAGGTGGAAGCTTTAGAGCAGAATGTATTTATTTTTATTACTCATGTAAGAAAATTTGATGGGGCTGCCCAACTCCCTCTCAGTGACTCCTTCTCAGTGGCTTACAAGGATAAAAGCCCAATATCCAAAGTAATAACCGCCAATCTCCTTGGCGACAACAATCGGTTTCTGAATCACTCTGGAGTCTCCGAAATGAACGCTGCGGATCAAAGTGTATGCAAAGGAACAGCAGCGAATCACAATGATCACACGGCGAGGGATACTTGTGTGGAACCCCATTACGAAATGATATTTCTGACTAGTGAACAGAGAATTGTTCCCTGCCCAGGAAAACAATTATAACTCGGTCGTTTTAATGGTTTCCTTTACTGCCACTACTGCCTTTCATAATCGGTTGCGCGTTGCTGCCTGATTGTATTAATATTGCTGTAATTATGTGATACCGCTTTTCTTTTGATGGCCAGCATTGAGTTTCTGCTGTAAATATCCTTGGGTATTTGTGAGACGGTCTGGCGTCGTTCTCCAAGCACGGCTCTTTTTGAAAGCAAAATGGCTATGCGCATAAACGATTTCATGGTTTAAAAAGAAGCCACGGAGAGCACACTGGCAACTGCTAACTGAGTCTGCTGTTACATGGGCACGCTCTGGGATTGTTATAGGAGAGAAGAAAACAAAGAAAAGGAATGAATTATTTCTGGAAAAGGACACAATTATCTAGTTGGAATCTGAATAGAAGCATGTGTTCATATTGGATTCAGTTTTCTATAACCTATGGGCATCAATATTCTGTATATTTTTAAAAAAACAAAAAACATTTTTTTTTAAATTAAAATATAATTTATTAGAGTGATGTGGTGGCCTAGTAGTAAAGGCACTCGCCTCTCACTCAGAAGGTTGAGAGTTCAATCCTAGGTAGCAGCAGATGTTTCTTTTCTAGGGCACAAAGAGAAAACATCTGCTGTGAATTCCATGTAGGCGTCAGGAAGGGCCTCCGTCCAGTCAACGCTCAGCTCCATCTAGTCCCACTGACTCTGCCCAAATAAGGACTATGCCAGCAGTGTTTCTCAACCTTGACAATTTTAAGGCATGTGGACTTCAACTCCCAGAATTCCACAGCCAGCATTGCTGGCTGTGGAATTCTGGGAGTTGAAGTCCACATATCCTTAAAATTGTCAAGGTTGAGAAACACTGGACTACGGGGTCATAAAAAGGGAGTTATTTTTATTTAAAATATAATTTATTAATGTTACTTCATTCAAGGGTCCTGCAGAGGCTTCATTAAATTGTATGTTAGTTCAGTGCAAATGGGGGTTGACTTGTAGCTGAGGAACAATAACGGCTGCTTTGAATAAAATAGAATGGTGTTTGATTGTGACAATAAGTCATTAGTGTTGTTTAGTGACGACTGCGCTCTTCCTAAAGTTGCGACATTGCTCGTTTTTCTTCATTTGTGTTTAAAAATCAAGAAAATACACTACTTTGGTAATTTTTAAAAATATAACATTCTCTAACAACTTTCTTTTCTGGAGAAAGAACATACATTCTTCAAAATGTATGGGGTAGGTAGGATAGAATAGAATAGAATAGAATTATGGGATCGAATTGAATTATGGGATGGAATAGAATAGAATTATGGGATGGAATAGAATAGAATAGAATAATTGGAATGGAGTAGAATAGAATAGAATAGAATAGAATAGAATAGAATAGAATAGAATAGAATAGAATAGAAAACAGTTCAAAACAAAACACAGGCCGAGTGTGATTAGACACACAAGGAGTTTGTCTCAGGTACATGCAAAGCAACAGCCCTAAGATTGTTTGTTTGTTTGTTGCCAGAGGTCCCTCTGGGCGAAAGGTCAGCTATGAGACCATAAGCCCCCTTTCCTGCTAACCTTTGTAGGGGAAAGACTTGATCCTCCCTAGATAAAAAAGAGATTTTGCATTCTCCCTCCTTCATAAGTGCCAAGATGAGAACGGCAGAGTTAACAGCAGGACTCTCTTGCTCCTGATATCCCTCCAGGGAAATGTTTACAAAAAAAATACATAACATTCGTGAGAAAGAATTGAAATTGAAATTGCCTTTGATTCAATAGAAAAACTACCATGTTCGCCACCGCTGCGTTTTTGTCGCACAACGTGCACGTTTCCAGTCTAGCCTTCCGAGAAGCAGTTTTAAAAACCCTTACATTTTGTCAAGAAGAACGATAAACGTAACGGGCATCGCTGCCAAATTCATAGCGCTTTTCTGAGAAATACAACTGCGTTTCGTGGTTTGTTATCCTCCGTGTTGGTAGCTTGGCTCATCCAAACGTTTCTGTAGAAACATGTGTAATATTTTTTTCCTCCCAGGTTCAACAATATAAACAAGATCCTAAGCCATCCAAATGCCTGCATTCGGTTTTCAACGTTCACACAGGTGATGAGGTCTTTTCTCATGAGGACTATGGCCATCTGCAGGTAACGAAGCAATTTAAAAAAAAAAAAATCTACAACAGAGTGAGTTGTATATTTCCCTCCCGCTGTTTAGTTAACGGCTACAGTTCTTCTAAAATGTCTTCAATTATGGAGCTTGACAAACTGATTTTCCTGCTTTAACCTACAACGACAGCAAGCTGTTTTGTAGTCTGAATTGTTGCTGTATAATTCAGTGTAAACAACGCAAAGGTAATGGCCAAAATGAATTGTTGCTCTCTTTGAAACACGACAAGCTTGGATCTGTAAATGCAGATCTTAAAATATGTTTATAGATTGATTTTAAGAATTGCTGATCTGGATACTCTGTTCTGGTTGGTGACTCAATTTCCCCTTCCGGAATATAGCCAGCTACTTAATTAAAAGTTAATGGTTTTTTTTTAATGTGATTCTTCTTTTTCTTTCTTCCTCCCATTCAATGGAGTTTCCTTACTGCATATGTTGGATTTTGGACTGTCATATGTCAATTTTACCTGGGATAACAGTAATCTCCTTCCTAACTATGATAGATTAGAATTTTCTCCTAGCAGTAACAAGTCATTTCTAACACAGCGTTTGTGAGTTGTTTTTTTTTTTTCCTGCCTCAGAACATCTTCAGAATCACTTTGAAATACAATATCGTACATTGTAATACAGCGAAAATATTTCCTGCTGGGCATAGTTTGGTTCTGGAGCTGTGCAATTTGATGTATTTTAGATATCGCATTGCAAATTAATTAACTGCTATGGCTGCTTTGGTTCGGAGAATGGAGTTGTTTTTTTTCCAATGCTATTTTTATTGCTGTGTTTTAATGGGGAATTTCTATTCCAAGACAGTTGTTTAAATATAGTGATGTTGTTATGGTTTGCCTCCTTGAAAGAAAAGAGAACTCTGAAGGATTTCATTTTTTTCTTTATGTTGTCAGGTGAAGGGATGTAATTTGGCATGTTATGATGTGGGCAGTCCTTTATGTGGGATTATTTCCTGTGAATTGCTTCCCCAGCCATAATGTCTTGTAGAAAACTGCTGTGGCCGATGAGGCTGGCATCTAAGAGATAATTATGTCAACAGAAGAAAACAGCTCATTTTTCAAACACGTAATTCAAATCTTATGAATCAGAGGCTGAACATGGTTAAAAGGAAGGCTTCCCTCTGCAGGAACCTTCACAAATGTTTCACTTATGACAGACATGTCAAACACAAGGCCCGGAGACCGGATGCGGCCCGCGAAGTGGTTTCATGCGGCCCGCGAAGCCATCCTGGAAACAGTGAGGGAACGGCCCCCGCTGCCTTGGCCCTGGCCCTGGCCGCCCGGGAGCCAATGTACAATTTTGTGGTGGCCATCTATGCTGAAACGCATTCAGTCTTAGCTCTACAAGGCCGTCTGGAAACAGCGAGGGACCGGCCCCTGCCGCGTTGGCCCTGCCCCCTGGGTGCGCGCTAGGGAGGTGTCACCCTTTGTGAGGAATGAAGAAATGCACCATCGCCTGGAAGTGGCCAGCAAATGGCCCTCGCCTACTTCACATATCTGGCTTGATGGGCTCCAGGGAGGGGTTTTGGCAGGCTCCTCCAGTGGACCATGCCTTGAAGACGTATCTCTGATCCCTGAACTGTGCTTCGTATCACGTCATTGCAACTCGGAGACACAAGGCAAAAATACAGTAGGCATCTCCCAGCTCCCAGGCCTCTTGAGGGTCTATCAACCTCTTCCAGACACCTGCATTTGTTTTCCATTTTGCACCCGTTCTTTTCATCCCTTCTGGTTTTACTAGAGACATTGACTGCGGGCATCATAGCCCGTGCAGGCTAATTTCTTTTTTTTCCTTGACAGGATTATTTCTTTTATCTCTTCCCTTTTCCTTCACCCAGATAAATGCCGTATCGCTCTTCCTGCTCTACCTGGTGGAGATGATTTCCTCGGGCCTGCAGATCATCTACAACACAGACGAGGTACGAATGAGCCAATTCCGTATCTCAGGAAAGCCGACCGAAGGAGTCGTAGAGGAGCCCTTTAAACAAAAGGGAAGGAAATTCGTTTTCTGAAATAGCTGAATTGAATTAAAATTGGAGCAATAGGTTTAATAATAATAATAATAATAATGATAAAGTTGGAAGGGACCTTGGAGGTCATCTAGTCCAACCCCCTGCTCAGGCAGGAAACCCTATATCATTTCGGACAAATGGCTGTCCAGTCTCTTCTTAAAAACTTCCAGTGTTGGCGCATTCACCGCTCCTGGAGGCAGGTTGTTCTACTGGTTAATTGTTCTCACTGTCAGGAAGTTTCTCCTTAGTTCTAGGTTGCTTCTCTCCTTGGTTAGTTTCCATCCGTTGCTTCTTCTCCTGCCTTCAAGCGCCTTGGAGAATAGCTTGACTCCCTCTTCTTTGTGGCAGCCCCTGAGATACTGGAAGATTGCTATCATGTCTCCCCTCGTCCTTCTCTTCATTAAACTAGACATACCCAATTCCAGCAACCGTTCAGTCCCCTAATCATCTTTATTGCTTTTCTCTCCACTCTTTCTAGAGTCTCAACATTTGTTTTTGTTTTTTTTTCTGCTTCCTTGTCCTGAATGATAGCAAGAAACTATTTCTGTTAGCATTTCTGTTAACCATGTAAAGGCTAGGTCAGGGACACCAGACTCGGCTGTCTATAGAGATTCTCAGTCATTCCAGGTCATGGTTTTCCGAAAAGTGCTCTTTCGTTGTTTTTTCTTGAAGACGTTTCACTTCTCATCCAAGAAGCTTCTTCAGTTCTGACTGAATGGTGGAGAATGGAAGGATTTACATTCCTTGCAGTCATATGGTCGTTAGCACTCTTTCTGAGAGTCCTTAATGCCACTTGGAGGTTTATCTGTGCCTTCAGGGTCACCTGAATAGTGCAAATGGGTGTGGAACCTTCTTGGAACTGCTGAAAGGACTGTATTATAAATAAAGCTTCTTGGATGAGAAGCAAAACATCTTCAGGGAAAAACAAAACCTACTTGCCTTTTGAAAAGGACCAGTTCTCCAAACTTGGACTTCCAACTCCCAGCATTCCTCAGCCAGCCTTACAGACTGGGGAATTCTGGGAGCTTAAAATGGCCACGTTTGGAGAACCCCTGGGCTTAGGTAAATATGCAGCGAATCACAAAGTGTTACACTTATTTAACACATCAGGCAAGCACTTCCGTGTATTTCAAGGAAATGCCATTTTCTTCCCTCATCAAACAGCAAACGTTTCCTAAAACATAATCTCTTGTTTCTTTTTAAACAGAATATCTTATCAATATCAGCATTTGTATTCTGTGGCATGCAGTGGGCTGTTAACGCCTGCAGAGATTTCCCTGCTCTTTCCAGAAGTGCCACTTAAAACAGCTTCTAAAGTGTGTGCAGAATCATTGTGAATGAATATGTATATGACATCCATATAAATGCATATGAAACCTAGATCTGGGGGAAAATCAAGGCTGGAGGATTCCCACCCTTGAAGCCACGTTTTCTGCACTGAAGCACTTTTTAAAAATAAAAATAAAAATACAGCTTTTAGTGATGTGTTTCAACACTGAACGAAAGTAAACCTGGCTGTAAACAGGCTTTGACAAGAGACGAAAGATTTTCCTAGGTCTCTTAAATCCAGCTGTCAGTACTTCTCAATAATCTGCACGAGCTTTTCTATAATTGAGAAGTATTGACCTGGATGCTCCCACTTGTTTACTTCCTCCGGTGGTGAGTTTATTTGCTTTAATTGTATGATGTTTACATTTTGGTTCCTATGCAATCCCCTGCCCCCAAACATGGCAGGTTTTTAACAGTAACAGGCAGTGGGATTTCTAAGGCTGCCTAAAAGGAGTTAGAAGTGTCCGTCCCTGTTTTTTTTGGGGGGGGGATGATGGCATCGTCTGAGATCATCTAGAGATGTTCATACCTAAAATGAGAGTTGGATAAGAAATTGGCTTGCGCATTTCAATCATTCCTCTATACCAAATTGCCTCTTAAAAGGAACGGCTGCTGGAATTGGGTAGGTCTAGTTTAACGAAGAGAAGGACGAGGGGGGACATGATAGCAGTCTTCCAATATCTCAGGGGCTGCCCCAAAGAAGAGGGAGTCAAGCTATTCTCCAAGGCGCCTGAAGGCAGGACGAGAAGCAATAAATGGAAACTAATCAAGGAGAGAAGCAACCTAGAACTAAGGAGAAACTTCCTGACAGTTAGAACAATTAACCAGTGGAACAACCTGCCTCCAGAAGCGGTGAATGCTCCAACACTGGAGGTTTTTAAGAAGAGACTGGACAGCCATTTGTCGGAAATGGTCTAGGGTTTCCTGCCTGAGCAGGGGGTTGGACTAGATGACCTCCAAGGTCCCTTCCAACTTTATTATTATTATTATTATTATTATTGTTATTATTATTATTATTATTATTATTATTATTATTATTATTATTACATGGGTTTATAAATGCTTGGAATAAAGGGAGGAGGAGGAGGAGGAGGAGGAGGAGGAGGAGGAGGAGGAGAAAGAAGGAGGAGAAAGAGAAGGAGGAGGAGGAGAAAGAGGAGGAGAAAGGAGGGGAAGGAGAAGGTGGAGAAAGTGGAGGAGGAGAAAGAGAAGGAGGAGGAGGAGAAAGAGGAGGAGAAGGAGAAGGTGGAGAAAGTGGAGGAGGAGAAAGAGAAGGAAAAGGAGAAGGAGGAGGAGAAAAAGGAAGAGGAGAAGGAGGAGAAAGAGAAGGGGAAGAAGGAGGTGGAGGAGGAGAAGAAAGAGAAGGAAAAAGAGGAAGAAGATTCCTCTTGTTCAATTACATGTCACCTACTTTCCCTTTGTCACTAACTCTGAGTGGTTTTGTCCTCTGAATGTTCCGATGGGTGTTGCTTCTAAGCCCTGGCCCCTCCCCATTTCCCCCCCCTTTTATTTCACATTTAAACTAATCCCTCGCCCAAGATGTTGTTATGCCTACTGAGTGTGTTGAAGCTATTCATTATTATTCCTTGTTTCCTTTGGAGGTAAATGAGCTGCCTCCAATAGCAGATGAAAATAGTGAGCTAGTTCTAAATGGCTGAATAAATGTAATGGGTTTTGTTCCTCTGCGTAGAACAACGGTATTTGTTAACCCCTTTACAAACGAGAAAAGGATTATTTCCCATATTATTGGCGCGACGTATTGCGTGATCCTCTGTACCTGAAAATTCGGATCTGTAGAGGAACACAAACATATATTTCAAACGCCTTTAAAATGCAAAGATTGAATTTTGAGCAGATTGGATATAGTTTAATTCTGCAGTTTATCAGAAGAAGGAAGCTAGGCTAAAGTGACTGTACTGATTAAAGAAAAAAAAATACGAATATTTTTATTGCCACGTGGAAACCGCTTCTAGATTTTGCGCTTCAGGTGGAAAAAAATGAAATTTTGATTGTGGGGCTTTACCAGTTAAATAGATTTGATGTTTTGAAATGGCTAGTTTATATTATTTTGTAAAAGTAAAAAGTTGAGATTTGAAGTTGATACTTGAGGAAGTCGGAAGTCAATGCCCTTTTTCTCTCTTTTTTTCTCCCTTACCTCACTTTTCTACTCTCTTTTCCCTTCCCCATCTTTTCCATTATTTATTTTGTATTTCGATTATATCATATATTATAAACTAATAAAACTTTCTTGAACCTGCATGCAATGTAGTATAGGCGCCCTTGAAATTAAGATAACAATCCAAATTTCACTTGTGATCTTCCCAAGTCCAGCCCTACAAGCGTAAACATTTCGAACCCGGGTTACCGGTCAGGTAGTCCTTGACTTACGACCAAAATTGAGCCTGAAATTTCTGCTGCTAAGTGAGGCTTTTGTTAAGTGAGTTTTGCCCCATTGCCCCAATTGTTAAGTGAATTACTGCAGTTCTTCAGTTAGTGACACAGTTGTTAAATGAATCACTACAGAAAGATGGAGGGCAAGAGAAGAAGGGGACGACAGAGAATGAGGTGGCTGGATGGAGTCCCTGAAGCAGTAGGCGTGAGCTTCAATGGACTCCAGAAGATGGTAGAGGACAGGAAGGCCTGGAGGAATGTTGTCCATGGGGTCACGATGGGTCAGACACGACTTCGCAACTAACAACAACAACAGTTGTTTAGTAACATGGTTGTGAAGTGAATCTGGCTTCCCCATTGACTCAGTCCCAAAAGGTGATCACACAATCTTGGGACACTGCAACTATCATAAATGTGAGTCCATTGACAAGCCTGTGAGTTTTGATCGTGTGACCTTGCCGATGCTGCAGCGGTCCTAAGTGTGAAAAATGGTCGTAAGTCCCGAAGGTGCTTTTTGAAGAGGCAACAGGACTTTCTTGGTTTTTTTTGAAGACGTTTCGCTTCTCATCCAAGAAGCTTCTTCAGCTTCTTCTTGGATGATGAGAAGGGAAACGTCTTCAGATAAAAACAAAGAAAGTCCAGTTGCCTCTTGAAAAAGCACCTTTGGGACAACCATGACCTGGATGACTGAGAATCTCCGTAGACAGTCATAAGTCACTTTTTTCACTGCCGTTTTAATTTCGAACGGCCACTAAATGAACTGTTGTACTATCTGTACTGCAGCTGTTTCCCTTAACACAGGCAAGGCAGGGCAGTTCCAGAATGAAAAAAAAAAAAAGGTTTACCCTTGCAATTATCAGTACTGTATTATTAAATCTCTTTCCTATTGTAATGTTCCAAGAAAGGAATGAGAGCGTTTGGCACTTTCCCTGATTTTTCAAAGCAAAGCTAACAGTCCTGGCGATGACGAGGAAGGGAGAATTCTCCAGGCCGAGCTTGGAGTAAAATTCAAGTCAAGTAATTCTTCCTGACCTGCTTTTGCTGCTGCAATATAATTTTGAAGAATAATACTCCCACCAATTGCATATCATGCCCAGTAATAATAGCAAACTATTATTAGCAGCTGAGCTGTAGGCAAGACAAACAGAGTTATCTGAAGAGCTGTCCC